CACTGAATAGCAGGTCCACGCGACTATGGGGTCCACCTCGCCTGCTGTTCATCACAGAAAAATGTCATAAAAAATAGTTGGGTGTCAATGATATATGTTTGCTTGGAGCATCTGTTACGGGGGATCGGTCCAAATCAACTTCCCAATTGTCAGGGGCACATGCTTATTGTAAGGTAGAAATGCTGTTGCTTGACTTTCATTTGACCTGTATTTTTACTCATACAACTGGGCGAAGCGCATGCACTGTCTACTACGCATGGGTGTGTACTAATGTGCTGTGACCAGAATCAGGTTCACTGTCCTTGGCCTACTGGTCACATGATCGTGTGTCGATCGTTTTTAGCTACCGGATTACACCGGTGGGTTTCGTAAACTCGTTTTCTGGCGTACAATGAATCTAAGTTTTCTTTTATAACTGGAGGATGAACAAAGATTCATCTAGGAAGCTTCGCAAACTGGTTCGCACCATTCTTTCGCTAGTATGGAGAGTAAATGCTTCATACAATGAAGAGACTTTCTGGTTGTTCCTTTGGATTCCGAATCTGTCAGCGTTGTACTAGGCTCGTTGGTTTAATATTCGGTCAATTTGTTAGTAAGTTCCTGTGTGTCCTGTGTTTGGTGAAATCGGTAGATGTTTGTGGAACCCCCAGAATGACTTAATCGTGTCTTCTGCCGGTGGGTCTATTGAGAAGAATTTCGCTTGTCGATGGAATGTGCGTCTACAGTCCATATATTCAAACTAAACTCGTCCGGCATTGTGGCGTGTGCATCCATCATGATCACTGGCTAATACGCTCACCTTTTAACGGAAATCACCTGATCCATTCCAATGGGATCAATTTTCGCTTCTCCTTGGACTGCGCTAGCCTTAACAATAGCAAGAGTGTATTCAATCAATCCGCCGTTCTTTTCAGCCGTCCAAACTCCTAGCAGAGGTTTTCCCATGCCCATTACTCTCGATGAAATCCTAAGCCGAATCGTTGTCCTGAATTTCGGCCGTTTCAGTCGGTCTTAATTGTGTACTGAACGTGCTTTGCTACTAACGCACTGACCACTTGATTCACTGGTGCGACAATTCCGAACGATCAGTCGATGGGAAGTCTGCCCACGATCGTGTTACGAATAGGTTGAGACAAAGAAGGAAATTGACCGAACAACTGCAGTTTGGGGATAACTCCGGCATAGTATATCTTTAAGGACTCGTCGCTTGCGTGGCCACTGGGAGCATCCAGTCTTGAACGGTTAAGCCATTGAGCCTGTGTGTACTTGGACGTACTGTAAACCTTAGCGAGGTGCATATCGATCGATCACTGTAGTGAAATCATGTGCTTACAATGCCACGAACACAATCAACCTGTGAACAGCGAGAAAAAATCCCGTGGATTTATCTCTATTTTTTTAAAAATCTGATTGGATGAATAGACCGTTTCCCGAACCATTATGGCACTCACGTGGATCGGCAGTCAACTGTGTGCCTAATTTGCACCTTTTGAGTTAGACTAGTGTGGTTGCCAAATCAGGTGAAGCGATTGACTATGACACCCTTCTTCCTTTGTCGATATCTCGATTCCCGAATCGAAAACATATTTGGATTCACGGATGTAAAAGTGAGAGAAGTACTCGAAATAATGATAACGATTATAAACGAATCAGGTCACTTGCGCTAGCGTGCACCAGTTGGCATTCTCTCGATGTATTGAATCAGGATTTGCGGATACCTATGAACACTCAATAATCAGTGTTACTTTCGAACGCCTTGGATGATCTGAGTGATGGCAATTCGTGTGGTAACTTCACAGACTAAAACGGTTCACGTAAAAAAACCAAAAGGAGATACATATTGTAACAAACTGGTTCATTCAACAAAACGGTACTAAAGGTAAGGACCACAGTTGTGTGAAGCGTGCACACCTAAAAATTGTGTCATCTTCCCGTTCAAAAGGCTGGAGATTGTGACACCAGCACGTGCAGAAAACTGTCGAACAGGGGGCAGTCGGAGGATTGAACCGAACGAGGGCACGTGCGTGTTTATAAAGATGTTTCATCGATATCCAAACCTAAACAGCCTAGCTGCTGAGGTAGCAATTTTATTGAAGGCTGTTACAACCATTATGCATTAGTTGCACGATTTATGAAATCCTACACAGTATCTCATGGACACAATGTAGCTTCTACAGGACCGTCTCTTTTAAGGACCTGATCATCACTATTAAAAACCTTTGTTTAGGCATTCCACATTATTGATCGGTTGTGGTGGATTATTTCCGGCTATGTTGACCATTTACTGAACGAGTCGTGTGCCGTTTTTGTTGATATGTATCAAATATCTTAAAGATTCGGTGGTATTTGAAACCAATTAATTCGACAAGAGGTTCAACTTACTGATTCAGGGAGTCCGGATATTTCTACTGTTTTGGTTTTGCTTTAGGTTAACTCTGTAGAAACCTGAGAATTCAGTTAGTTGTGGATGTGGCCCTCGATGATGGCGCTTGACTTCCAGTAGTATTTTGCGCAGTTCATGAAAAGTTTTATCATATGTGAAAAAGACATACAGAAACCTGCGCCTGCTAAACGACGGTAGATTGTATCTGAAGTGGCTGCTAACATGCACTGAAGTAAAACGTTGCTGGTCCGCAAGACCATCATAGTTTCTAGTCCCTGTGAACAATCTAATTGTCTAATCGAAACACGATACTTTAATATGGATCCTAGCATTCGACTATGAAGGATGTTATGCTTCAGCTACATATTCCAGTGCGCTCATCTGATGGCTGTGATCGAATCTTTCATAAAGTTCGACTATATCTTCAGCATTCTTCCTTTTCTTTGGACAATTCGATGTACTTATGATAACTCTTCCACAGATGGTTAGACATGGGGTTAGGAATGGTAGAAATTATGCTTTAGACTGTCGCAGCTCAAAATATTCGGCCCATTTTCCGATATCTGTCGGGATAGTCTGCATACGGTTAAAGCTAGCTAATCAATATTTGGTCTGTTAAACTGAACGCGCACGAGCTCTCTGCATTTTCCGGATTCCACTAATTTTCTTGGCTGTCTTGAACCTTTTATGGTGGCTGCGTAAAGTTATGTCATCATTCCGCGTGATCACCATAACTCCTCTGTCGCGAATGCGTCATCTATTCAGTTTGCTTTCTCATAGAATCTCAGCACTGTGGTCGTTGAATTCTCTGGTTCTGCCAGTAGATCTTCGTCATCATCATGCTCGTGTTATTCCGGGGTTGTGGCATGAACTGCAGGCAACTCAAACTCGTGTTTATTGGCCGATTCTTGGCACGATTCACAGGTAGTTACGGTTCGTTCGTTCCGAAAATAGAGCTGCCGAATATGCCGTCAGTGTACTGGTATATAAGTTAAATTGATTCCCGCCATTGACTAACCTAAACGTTTGGTGATAACTCCTCGGAAAGGGTAAAAATACTTGCTTGTGAAGTGAGTAGAGTCTGTGTAATCCATACACTTTGGAAAAGNTTGGAAAAGAAGTCCAGCCACGTAAGTTGAGCAAATTTACAAACTTTCCTCGGCGTTCGCGAGTGCCCCATTTCTCCACTGCAGAAGGAAGTTGTCCAGAAACACCACCAGTATTTGCTATGATTCCGGATTTTGAACCATTCTTAACAGATTTTTAGCCGCACCCTTCGAACATTGATACCTCGGTAACCTACTTGGCTCCCCCTCTCTCAGCTCCTTGTTTTTCAGCAGGGGTTACTTTATTACATTCAGTTCATTTCAAGACCGGTTTAGCAAAATGTTTATCCATATAACAGTAAACAAATGGAAATTCACGGCAACAAGCTGTTCAAAATGAAACCAAAAATCCCGGCTGTTCGACGGGCTATTAATAACACAATTTTGTGTGCCTTGCTAAATAACAGCTGCACCACAAAACCCATATCTAGAAAATTGCCACAGAACATCACTACGTATTCATTGAATCAGTGATCACTGGTTAGAGACAGGTGATAAAGCAATAAGTCAAGTCAAATTAAGCTTTATGCAACCTTATAGGGTGGATTTTCAGCGATCATGTATGAGGACAGTAAACAGATGCACGAGCGTCGAACTCAGGACACTCGGAGGAATAACTTAATTCCTCATTCCTCATGCTGATTCCGAGGTTTACGGAATGGAAGCCTAAACTGACAAAGTAAATTCGTCACGATTTATATACCTGTGCATCAGGTCAGTGCTCGTCCTGCTTTGATCTCGACCAAGGGGCTAAATAACTGTGCAAACATCTTCCAAATCAACGTCTCATTCCTTTTGAGGTCAACTTATCCTATGATTCTGCTTTACGTTATCTGGTTTCTTTGTTTGATTAAAGATTACTGATTAGTTTGGTTGAGTTCAACTCCACTTCCATTTCTTCTATTCTCTCATTCCCTTTTGTGTTGGAATGTGTTGTGTGAATTGATCGTTTGTTTTACGGCATCAATTGTGCTTTTATGATTGGTATGATTGGTATAAGTAATCACGCTGACTTTGTTTCCATTGAGGCTTTAAGCTTTGCTTAGCTCTTATATTTACAGTCTACTTTATGCAATACCGGAAGTTTATTCCTACAATAAACATGGTGAACTCACTCCACTCACAAAATACTTCCGTTATCATTAATTTTCCCACGAAATAATCTCCATTCTTAACTCTTTCATCGTGGATATCTATGTGGTCCAGAACCCAAATTATTGTTTGATATATCAACGGATATTTTAACTGATACCCCACTGGGACACTGCTTGCAGCCTGAAAGAAAAAGTTCACCGTGTTTGAAGCGGTTAATTTCAAAAAGAGAACACGTCCACGAAAAACAGATTTGAGGTGGGGGTGAATAATTCTCAACTCTTTCCAGGTTTCGAATCGGCATCTATGCACTGTTGATTGATTTGCTAAATAGTACATTAGAATCCTGCTCTGCCGACCAATTTTGACGCCATGTAAAAACCAGTCTTGTCCTGAAAATACTTGAAAGTGACAGCATAGTAATCCAATTTCGTCTCCTTATACTGCCCTCTTTCGATCTATTGTTAGCCCAGCTAACGTCTTTTCAACTCGTTCAGTCTTTTCTTATCTTTCGGAGTAGTGGCATCCAAATACTTCGAAATAAGAAAAATATTATCGGCATGAAAAATTATTTTATTCTCTTTCCAATAAGATCCCTTGGTGCTCAATCTTTTACTGTTCGTTATGCCCTCTACTATTCAGTTTCATGCATGCTAATCCGACGTTGCTCTGCAATCATGCGTGGCGTTCTGTTAATCTTTACTCAGTCCTACTGAAACTCGTATCAAATCGTGTGTGGATTGCCGATGATGTTCTTTCTCACCAGTATTCTTATGTTTCGTGATATCACTTTCATGCATCAGCTCACTATCCTTTACTTTCTCGTAAAACATTCTACAATATTTTCATTATTCTTTGGTCATATGATGAATTCTTCATGTAACTAAGTCGTGAGCTGAAAAGCTGGGAAGCACTAGACAGTTGTTTTAACCTGGTTGGGTTTCATCCGCAATGCCAATCCATCGACCCGACCGGGGAGTGAACCCAAGAGCTCACAGATGGAACGCAAGCATACCACCCGCTCATAGAAACAAACCAAATGTTCCGTTACACCCATTCAACAAATAATCAGGTTGTGAAGTTTTCAACCAAGTCGTATACCTAGGGGCTAGTGCTGAGATGAGCGAGGACATAGACCGGGTTGTGCTATAGCGCGTAAATTCAAAATGAGAAACTGTCTGATCAGTTGCCCGGTGGCCGAGTGGGTAATATGCTTCCGTTCTACTTGTGAGGTCCCGGGTTCACTCCCCGGTTAAGTCGATGGATTCGCACTGCTGACGAGACCCGATTAGGTCGAAACAGCTGTCCAGTGCTTCCTAGCTTTTCAGTTCACGCTTTGTTTGCTATAT